CAGTGTCCTTTGCTCCTGGAGATGGCGGCTCTGCAGGAGGAGTATTTGTCATCAAGAAGAAGTTATGGTGGGCCACAGAGAGAACTTTTTCATCTTTCAAGTGGTCCAGTGTTTGGCGAGATATCAGTTCACAGAGCATTTCCCTTGTACCAAGTTTAAGTTAAAGGTAGTTTTACTTTTTCAGCCAGGGTTTAATAGTAGCCTGCCTTCCTATCAACGCTACACATCACTGCAAAAGCAAACTCTCAGGAAAGATCCGGATCATTTTTGGACAGAAAAGGGTTAGCACACGCGACTGCTGACACCAGCTGGCCTGCCTTCAGACTGCAAAGCTCCTGGCATCATGGAGACAGGTGACCACACCTCCAGCTGTGAACGCCATGACCTGGGAATTCATGTTTAGACGATCACAAACCTGCTAGGAGGTTCAGTGTTGGTTGAGGGTGGATATTTTTGCCAAGGGAAAGGTATCAAGAGCCTGAGGAGGATTTGAAGCAGAATTGTCAAATTGGTCTCCACCAGAGCCTTAGAGAAAGACAGAACAGGTTGAGCAGGCAAGAGTCACAGCAACATTTGACAGAAAAGTGAAACGGTGAAAAGGCAGACAAAGAAGCCAATTATTTGTCTACATTTCTCCACCTGGAACCCCTCACTTTGATTCTGCTTTGAAGATGGACAGGCCGTTTTTGGAGTTTGTGATTTCTGCAGGCTTCTAGAATGAGATTTCTGGAACTCTAGTTCTGAAAAGAACTGGAGAACCCTCTCAAAAGAGGCTTTCACTTGTTGTTGCCTTAAACATATAGCATTTTCAAAATGAGTGGATTCGGCTTAGACTTTGGTTTTGCTGGTTCAAGCCATTTTGAAAGCCATTCAGCCTGCAAAAAAAACTCCCATAAATTAAGGGCTCACTACAAATTAAGACATATCTTGTGACTATGGAATAGAAGAACTATTTACCGTGGGATAGAGCATCTATTTCTCTGGTGCAGCCATGCCACGTGTAGCAACAAACAATTCAGTGACATGACCAAAAAACCTACCAATCAGATGAATGGGGGTTTCTTCAGGCATTGCATAAGTGACTAGACTTGAGAGTTTTGATGGGCTGCACCACAATGCTACTCAACAGCAGCACTAGAAATATATGTGCAAAGGCTCTACGCAGTCCTGATGACTTTGTCATATTCCCTCCAGACTCGGGCTGCATCAAAATCAAATGGCTTTGGCTAAGGCTAGCACACACCTCCACTGGCACGCGTGTCATTCCAAGTCAAAGCCGTAATATTTCAGCACAGCCACAGTGTGGGATTTCGCCAGGTTTGTGAGAACAGCTGTCGTACGTTTAACTGGTGAATGGCGACTAGTGTGAAGAAATGCATATGTGCCACACAGCAAGCCGCGATGAATTTGCAGAAAAAGGAGAACCTGTGTGAGTGTCTGTACCTTCACCTGTATCTTTAGAGCCTTGAGACTGGGCGCTATTCCGCCGCCTCGGAGCCACTTCAGGTCTCTGCTTGGGCGGCTTCTGGACTGCACCATAAACGGGCTCTGCAGGGAGGATTCAAGGGTGGCGGAGGTGGTTAAAGGAAGGGGTGGAATGGGGTGGGGTGGTTTTTTATGGGTACTGAAAATACTTTTCATGGGTGACTGAAGGGTACAGGGGGGAAGGAAAGTGGTTACACAAAAGGGGGGCTTGGGAAAGGAGGTGGATTTCGGACTGTACCAAAAACAGG